ACCACATATTTCTTCTACATCATGATTTTAACAACGGCAGAATCATTAGAATAAGCAGAGAACCTTTTAAGATGAGTGCTTTGGAGAGAAAATTTCTTTTCTTTTTTTAAAAAAATTAATTTATTAATATTATTTTTTACATTCTAAGATGTTGCAGAGCACTTGGGGGATGGGGGGAGGGGAAAGGGAAAAAGAAATAGGGTGGGAAGACTAAAAAGGAGGGGGGACTTGGCCAAAGCCCATGGCACCCCCTTCATTCCAGCAGAGGAGACCAGGGGGGTTCCAGCAGCAGCTTGGTGGTTGTCACTGGGCTGGATGCAGGTATCAGGGGTGTGTGGCTCAGTCCCCCCACTGCTCTGGCTCTAGAGTCCAGGGTGCCTCCTATGGTGGCTTGGTGGTCGCTGGGCTGGTTATGGATGCCAGGGGGGCATGGCTGAGGCCCTTGGCCCCCTGCTGCCCTGGCTTGGGAGCCTAGGGAGCTTCCTGCGGTGGCTCAGTGGTCATCACTGGGCTGGTTGCAGTTGGCAGAGGGGGGTGTGGCTGAGGCCCTCAGCCCCCCGCTGCCCTAGCTTAGGAGCCTGGGGAATATCCTGCGGTGGCTCGGTGGTCATTGCTGGGCTGGTTACGGATGTCAGGGGTAAGGGTTCCCCACCCCTCTCTTCCCCACTGCCTGGGCTCAGGAGCCCAGGGTGCTTCCTGCAGTGGCTTGGTGGTTGTCCCTGGGCTGGTCGTGGTTGTCGGGAGGGTGGGGGCATGACTGAGGCCCTTACACCCCCATTGCCCCAATTTGGGAGCCTGGGGTGTTTCCTGGCAGCTGGTAGGATGTGGCTGAGGCCCACGGTCTTCCACGCTCCCTGGCTTGGGAGCCCAGGAGGCTTCTGGTCCTTCTAGGTTTTACAGATGTTCTTTGGTGGTATTAGGCCTTTACTGGTTAATATCAGACTTTGTCTCCGATGTGTGGGTATTTTGGTTTTCCTTTCAGTTCTGTGTTGGATTATTTGCTGTTCTTACTACTTACACTCTGCACTGGAACTAATTTGTTTTTTTTTTTTTTTTTTTTTTTTTTTTTTTTTTT